ACCACGTGCGGCTGGCCGCCTAGCCTAGCTGGATGTTCTTGTTATGTTCCTTGGATTGGATGGCGGCTTCGATGGGACGCAACAACATGAGCGCGGATCGGAAGTGGACAGAGGAGAGAGCAGCCACGGTTCGGGTTTCTTCTACTCCCCGTGCGCAACTGTGCGAGCCGTGTTCGTTTTCACCCGTACTGCCCTCTACGCGATTCAACGCATCCGCGAGCTGCCGGTTGATTCGCTTCGCGAATCTATTAAGTCTAATTAGTATATGTTTACGGTAGCATCATATTATCAAATTATAGACTAATTAGACTTAATAGATTCGTCTCGTAAATTAGTCTCAATCTGTATAATTAGTTTTATAATTAGTTTATATTTAATACTTCAAATTAGTGTCCAAACATTTAATGTGACAGGGACAAAAATTTAGGAGGTAGGAACCAAACATCCTTGTCCCTGGCACATCGGACATTCGAATATTAATTAGAAGAACTAAACATGAATTAAATATAAAACTAATTACACAGACGGAGACTAATTTATGAGACGAATCTATTAAGCCTAATTAATCCATTATTAGCATATGCTGTAGCACCGCATTGTCAAATCATGACCTAATTAAGCTTAATAAATTCATCTCGTAAATTAGTCCTAGTATGTGTAATTGATTTTGTAATTAATCTATGTTTAATACTCTAAATTATTATTAAACATTCTGATACGACGAGAACCAAACTTTAGTCTGAGCAACGTTAAAGATGGACACGGCGAGCCGACAGTGCCAACCGATGAATCGTGCTCGGGCATGCATGAGCGACGATGTATGCGCATATATATGGTACTGATGCCCTGGAAAGTCAATGGCTCTTGTCGTGGTTGGTTCAAAGCCACGGTAAGTATACGGAATAAGTACTCCCGCCGTTCCAAATAAGTAATTCCAGCTTTCTAAAGAGTCAAAGTATCTCAAAGTTAATTAAAATTATAAAAAAATATAAAAAATTATGATATCAAATAGATATACTATAAAAAAAATAATTAATGAAGAATCTAATGATACTTATTTAGCATCGTAAAATTGTATTATTTAACGGTAGTGCTAGTTTAACGGTAGTGCTAGCGTCCGGACGTCTGAACGGACGCTCATGCCTGCACCCCGTCTCCCCCCGCACATCTGCATCCCACGCCCGTCTACACGGGCCCGTGCCACACGACTACACGTGGGGAGTCCCCGCTTGCGCTCCCTCCGCTTCTCATGCGCATGCACGTGGCCGGTAGCTGCAGCAGGTGGCTACGCTAGCATCTAGAAGAGGGGGAGAGGGCGGTGGATGCCCAACCGGGGTCGGGAGGAGGAGGAGACACCGAGGCGAAGGTGAGGTAGCAGAAAAACGAAGACAGAGATACAACACCTGATCTACTTTTAAAATATTCGGATGCAACACTTGCAGCACACGTCTAAAGAAAGATAAAACACATGAAACATGCATCTGAAACACTAGCTGCAACACCAGATCTACTTTTGAAACTCCAGACGAAACACTTGCAACATACGTACGAAAACAATTGAAACACTCGAAACATGTGTATGAAACACTTGCAAAACACACACCAGAAAACACTTCATATGTGTGAAAACATATGCAATATCCAGATGAAACACTTGCAAACATACGTCTGGAAAACGAGATGAAACATTTGGAACATACACTTGAAACATATGTGTATAGCCACTGCAACATGTGCAACATTTCGATCTACTTTTGCAACATCAAGATAAAACACTTGCAACATCCAGATAAAATATCTGAAATACTTGAAACATACTCTTATAACATGGGCTTTGCTCGGACGAATGGAGGCACATCGGTGCGGAGATCAACGGCGGCCCATGGACCTCGTTGTGCGGTAGCGGCACAGGCAACTCACCGGCGGGCGTGGCGTCACACGAATCTCGTCCCTCTCGCCTGCTTGCTGGAGCATCCGTCATGGAGGCTCGCCTGCTCGGTGGAGGCGGTCGCGGTGAGCGGGCCGGCCGCAGCGAGGAGGCAGCGCGGTGGAGGCGGGCAAGGCAGACTGGGCCCGGTGGAAAATATGGCGCAGAGGAGGTAGCACGAAGGAGGCCGCAGGGGGATGGTGCGCAGCGCTATGGGGGACCGGCGATGGCAAGACGGAGTGGGGTGGGCGGATGGGCACGCGACACAGGGAGGAAATAGTGCAGCGAGCATCGGGGCATGCGAACAGGACGAGTGGATAGGGTCGCTGAGCGAGCGGTGTGCAGGAGTGAACGGAGGGAGGCGTTCGTCCGTCCGAACATCTTAATTGTACCATTATCGATTATTTTATTATATAAGTTTGGTTAAACTTATGATGTTTTGACTCTCTAAAAAAGTTAGAATAACTTATCACCCTGTTCGTTTGAACTTATTAGCCTAGCTTATCAGCCGTGATACAGTGTTTTCTCTCACAATAATACAACATCAGAATATGACATCATTGATCGAGGAGGCATTTGAAGCTTCGCCATTTAAGAATATGCTTGATAGTAAGCGGGAGGGGACGAAATTTTGATGACTGTTTGGCCCCTTTAATTGTCATTTAGTAGTAGATAGGTTTGTTGAGGACATAATCTTCCGGCAAGCTGCAGAAGCGAGCTCACGTTGGTGGGTCCATATATAGGTTATTTTTATCATTTGATATAAAGAGATTCTAAAACATAGCTCGGCTGTTTCTGTCCTGGCTTATCAGCCCTAAAAAAATATCAGCCGAATTTGGAACGGAGGGAGCACGGCTGTTCTCTAAGCCCTTCGAGATCGGACCTCACCTATCATATTCTCAGATGTGAGAACGGCCCGGCAGGTACCGACATTTCTAATTTGCAGCTGCCAGCCTTGCTGGCCGAGTGATATTTATGACATATATTATCGACACGAGTTGGTCGGATGTTATGACGTAGACTAATCGATGTGTTGCAAAGCAATCGGCTCGTTCGTTTGTTGGTTTCAGTCAGAGCTTATCAGTCAGTCAATAGTGTTTTCTTTCACAACAAACCAGCACCAGTCGGGCTTATCAGCCCAGAAACCAACCAACGAATAGGCCGAATATTTCTTCTTCAGGAATTCCCAAAAAGTGTTTCTTCTCCAAGACATACATACACGATGCTTTCTAGTTTCTTCTATACCATATAAATACCGTACCTACCCATGGTACACTTTTGACTTTGTGCACGGGCACGGCGCGTCCCCGTCCACTCAACCCGTTGTTGCTCAGTAAATCCAGCAGTCTCTCTCGAGCTTGAACGAATGAACGGGTTTGGTTGTTCGCGGTTCGCCATCTGCGCGTGCTGTGTCTGTGTGGTCCATGTGGATCATCACTCACATACGCATCACGAAAAGCGGGGAACCTTTTCCAGCCCGAAGCTTTCTAATCCATGCCAATGGCCAACAATCACGTGCTGATAGCATCTCATCCACCGCGCGCAACGGCTTTCGGAGTCTCTGTGTTTGCTTGCTTGAACATGGTTTCATAGAGCTAGAGCCACGTCGTATATGTTGGATAAGGAAAAGGTGGAACAAAATTGAGTGGATGGAGTGATCCTACAAGGAAGAGTGATTATTAGTTGCTTGCGGTACATGAGCAGATTCAGTGGCCCTACACTCAATGCCCGTATGAAAATGATGTGCATACATGAGCATGTACATTGATCTTTCCCCTGAGCCCAGGCCTAGCAGTGTTTTGCTTGGGACGCAGTGCATCCAACCAGTGAAATTGAAGCTCATTCTGGGTCTGGGTCTGGGTCTGGGTCTGGGCACATCCAACAGGGCAACAGGCCAGGATAATAGTCTCTTTACACTCAAATAGGCCATACATACATACAGGCGTCGGTGGATACATGCAACCAAACAGCCAGGATAGGGGAGATACGGGAAACCAATCACGGCCTTAGCCAGCCAAATTTCCCCTGGTCCTGCTTAGATGCTTGTTTTGCTATAATCTCTGCTATCTAATTCGGCACGTATATAATCAGCAGCTGTACCTAACAACTTCAAACCACACATGTAGAGAAATACAGTGAATGTAGTGATCCTAGAAGGAAGAATGATTAGTTGGGTGCAGTACATGAGCAGATTCAGTGGCCCTACACTCGATGCCCGTGTGAAAATGATGTGAATAAATGAGCCTGTACATTGACCCTTCCCCTGAGCCCAGGCGTAGCAGTGTTTTGCTTGGGACGCAGTGCATCCAACCAGTGACAGTGAAGCTCATTCTGGGTCTGGGCACATCTAACAGGCCAGGATAATGCTTTACACCCAATAGGCCATACGCCTGTTCGGTTGGCTGGTTCGTATCGTTGCTGGTTCGTTGGTTCGTATCGTTGCTGGTTCGTTTATGTGAGAGAGAAGTACTGCTGGCTAGTTCATGTAAACAGTGTTCATGTGAGAGGGCTAGCCAGCTCAGCCAGCCGCCCGCCCCCAGCCGAACGGGCAGGCGTCGCTGGATCACATACAATACAACCAAACAGCCAGGGCGATAGGGGAGATACGGGGAACCAATCACAGCCTTAGCCAGCCAAAATCTCCTTGGTCACGTATAAAATCAGCAACAGCAACTGTGCCTAACAAATTCAAACCACACATGTAGACAATACAGAAGACTATGGCAAACAGCATAATGCTGAATGGACATGAACACATTATGACTTTATTATTCCTATATTTCCAGTGTACACATTTTGCAAATTTGCCTACATGATAAAACCACAACCTCAGCAGTTCCAGCACTGTTCCGGTGAAAAAAATCAGCCAACTTGCCGAGCCAAAAGATAAGAAAGAATGGACCCCCAAAATTCTTTTCACAACTTCAAGTGCCGCGTATCCAGAACATCTGAGTTCCCCCCAAAAAGTGAGGCTAGTATCAGCGGTGAGTTGCACTTGCTGTGTCCTATGTACCAAGTCAAATTGCAAGCAGGAAACACACTGAAACCAAACTTGATTTCCTTAACCACTCATTCAACCTGTGGGCAGCCGATATAGAATAAATCTCATCTTTTCCATCATAATTTCCTGAGCTTCTCCACGACGCTGTCTAGTCACAATAAGATTGCGAAGAGGCATGGCAGGATATGCCAAGCAACACTGGACCAGCAATGTGGCATCATTCTGTAAGCAACAGATTTCCAAAGGCATATTACACCTGCCAACAGTTCTCTTGTTCTCTTGATGACACATGTGGGTTTCCATATGGCGTGTAGTAAGGGGTAAAGATCAAGGGTCATGGTGCCATTACTATGAATCATATCGAGCTCCAGATGTGAAAGAAGAGAAAAACCCAGCTGCTGGTCCAGGAAGGATGTCACTTAGCTTACCAACCTGCCCGTCAGAGAGCATAGACCCCCATCTTGATGTGTTCTCCCCAAATTTGCTCCCCACCTGACAAATGACATGAAGGTATTTTGCTGAATATTTGAAAGATACAACAATTATAGGCTGTATCAATAAGTTTTGTAAAAGGGAATAGACAAAAGAACATGTGAAAAGATAAACCTCTTCATTTGTCTTTCATACAAAGAAAAATGTCTTCTAATTTCCACAGATCTAGGGACTAAATGAAAAATTAGAAGTAGAAAACAAGATATTGTTGGCTCAAAAATGAAAATAAATGTGCTAGCAACAGTCACAAGACATGAATCAGTCAGTGCTCATAAATTTTCACTGTTTCCAGGGCTAATTCTGCAAGTATTTCATATCACGCTAATGGAAAATTTTCTCAACCAAGCAGAATGAATTTCGATGGATAAATTAATAAGTTATACAGAACGCAAGGATCTTTTTTTACTTGTTTAGGCTAGAATTGAAGTTAACAATCAATAAACTTGTAGTCAGTTACTCACCTGGGTAACAAATGACTTAAGCAATGGAGCAGCACCGACAAGACTTGCATTATCATCAAACTCTGGTGTAGTAGATCTATCTCCATTTGAATAGGATTTCCAAGGATTTTTAGATGTGGAGTCGCTAGATGGCGACTGTAGTGACGATTTGTGTGATCTTGATGATATAGCTGGGGCACTGTAGGCAAGAAGACAAAAAAAAGAGGAACAGATCAGAATCTTAAAAAAATAAGAGTATATATTCTCCACAAGCCACTTAAAAATCCCCAAAAAGAAAATCAGAACACCAACATAGGTTGCTAAATGGAACAAAAAAGCAAAACAAACATAGGAATGATCTTACACAGGTCTCCTAAATGTAGAACGAGCACACTAAAAAAAATACATTTTCTTTATTGTCCATTAACTGTTCATTTTGTCATTTACTACTACTTAGTCATCCATACAGTACACCAGAATAGAGTATAAAGTCTTATCCAAAGTTACAAGTCGTAATATCACTTGTAAGGATTGAACACTGAAGCTGTAATATTAACTCACTAATGTAAGCTCCTGACATTTAGTAGATGACCTTTTTGCAGAATGCTATGAAGTTGCCCATTATATGTTCCAGAATTATGGCATAGAAATACATCAGGTTTTACAAGCATCCATGGATATCTTGTCAACAAATGTTGTCAAGCACAAAATTTCCATATCATAACTATATCTGCTGATTGCAATGGTAGGCACGCTGCTGACAGGTTGGTCTGAGCACAAAACTAAGTCTAAAACACCTTTCAAAATCACTTAATGGGACATGCACTTGGCAATATATAAATCCATAGTTAGTTATTTACACATGACACAGATCATTTACCTGATTGGTAGGTACTTGAATCTTGGAACCTGAGAGCACCTCATGATATTTGAATTTGTATTTGATTTCGTTGGTAATTTTTGTACAGTACCAGTGTACATGTGATTCAGTTGGACCAAAAAACCAAAAAGAACAACATAACGCTTGTAAGATTGCTTCTCATTCTCCCACAGGTAAGGTTCATACCTATTTAAAGACACAGCTTTCAGTTGGGAGGAATGAAAAGCAGAGTCTGTAGTTAATTTGTTACATATTTTAATAACATGACAGGTAACAATTTAAATTGGAAAAAAAATCTTACGTGGCCCAGTCTATAGGATCCAATCTCTGTGAGAGCCTGTTGACTAACTTGTTTATAGGCTCTATGACAGCTGAGTCTGCCTGTAATTGTGACTGTTTTCTCCTGAAGGAAGTCTTGGTGACGGTGCTTGGCAAAGAATTTGTCTGCATTTCAGTAGTGTTGGTGGAAGAACTTTTACCTCCTGATAGGACATCACCAATGAAACGCAAGTCTAGCAGTATTTGCAGAATTCCTTTCTCTGAAACCGGAGAATTCCCAGATTCAACAGATGAAAGAAAATTTTCATAAATATTGATGACCTGCATATATTTAAGTAAAAGTTGGATCAATGGATCACATTTCTTGAAAGACATACTGACAGGCTCGTATGGAATCATCATCAGTACAGGTTTGAGACAACTTTGATGAAACAGGCAGCAACTAGGTCATGTAAAAAACAATGTCAACTGGAATATTCATGGAGCTGAAGCACCCAAGCATGAAGCATTAGTCCATATTGTCTAGATGAAGCACTAGTTCCAGTCTGAAGACACCTAAATCGAAGACTGGTTACTATTTTTAGAAACAAACAAATCTTTCTTAAGTTGCAATAGTTTGACTGAGAATCTATTCGCATGCTGGAGAAATATGAATTAGACTTTCCCAGCACTCAACAGGACAGGCAAAAAAAAAAAATCCATCTGATGTGTCAGTGTTATTATCATTATGATGTTAAATATCTCTAAGTAAAATCCAACATTCTCCATGCTGAGTCCATGGATAAAGAAACCACAAAGAAGCTATTTGTGGTTTGTGCAGATCCAAGAAACAGCTTAAAAAAAATCAACTCTTGGATTCTTGGCTCTGGTTTATATAAAATAAACTACTTCGATTTTGAGTCCAATGCATCATGACTGTGAACTCGTAACAGGGACATACCTTCTGCAGTAGCTCCCATGCAAAATTCTGCAAAATAATCCTGTCCAGGATGTGCCCTCCAACCTTATGAATCTCCAGGCATGCTTGATAAAGAAAGGATATGATGTACAATGAAGGCATCGATGGAAGAGCTATTTGCATCTCCAAGGGACCCTCAGTTGTTTCCTCTTGTTTAATTACTGTGACTTCCCAGCCCTAACAATGCAACCAAACCACACAACTAAAGCAATTAGAATTCTGTATCGACAAGAAAAATGAAATAATATTTGTTTGGTACACTAATAGCTTGAAAGATCTGGGTAAAATAGCAAAATTTAGTGCCTGGATTAGGCCAGTTTATATCTGTGATGCTGTGTCTGATTACTGATAAGCAGGCACCTAGGCAGGGTAGGCGACAATTGCACTATGCGCGAACCAAGCACCTAGTCCCTGCCTCCTTTTAAATATTTTTTTCTAGCTCCAATCAATTCAGGTGTACCTTTAAATTCACTCTCGAAAATCTTATGAGGCATTATGTCCAAAGTTAGTGTTCTTCATCAGGCCTCAAGAAGTACAATGTACACCTACCCACGGTTTTCCTTAATTCACCTAATCTCTCTAGATAAGGTACAAACACATATTGCCCTCAATCTGTTCAGAGATGATCCCATATACTATATTATTATACATGTGAATCTACTTAAGTTTTCCAAACCAAATAAAATGCAGTCATGTAATTCAAAAACTACACCGTATTATACACTAAAAGATATCGGAGCTGCAAGTGGGTTCAAAGGCATACCCTCAAAGGAGTTGAAGAGGATAGTGAATCATCTTTGTTGAGATCATATGAAAGAATGTGACATAATTCAGTGGACACCCATGCTATCCATACATTATGAGCCATGATGCAAAGTGATTGCAGGGTCTTATTGAGTTCATCAAGTCTAGGATTGGATCTATCATCAGCGCCAAACAAAGATACTGCAGCAGCAATAGTTTGTCTTCTGGGGCTATCCGATAATTGCCTTCCAGGACTCCTGGGACTGTCAAATGTGCGCCTTCTGGGTGTAAAAGAAACCAAAGAATCAAAAGATGCCCTTGAATGTCTTGGTGTAGGTGATGATAACTTGGCAAATGCTGCACCACCCGCCTCCTTTACCCACTCCCTTGGAGAACCTAGTATCAGGGGTACATGACTTGAATGGTATCTCAGCGCAAAAAAGAGACGACCAATGAAGAGAGACCTCTCCGCTATAATAGAAGCTGCAGGTATGTCGTTACCCTCCTTTTTGGTTCCCAACAAAGCAGAGAGCTTTCTGAGCTCAGCTTCTAATTCTTTCAGTACTCCCGAGATGGTCCTGTAGCATTTCTCCTGGAGGTATGGCACCAATTCCTTCAGCCTTGGGGCTGAATTATGTGACTCCACAAAGCTTAACAGATCGTCCAGGATATTTTTGCATTTACTGTCAACTGCACTCCTGATCCGACTAACTTCTGGCCCAAAATACGATGTTAGGCAGCTATGGAAATCATTTTCATCAGCAATTGGTTTCAAGTGTGCCAAAACTCCGCCTTTCTTGATCTTAGACTCTGAGAACCAGAAACCACCGCCCTTTGAAGATTTCCGCAGGTATGCAAGGAAATCTCCAGCATCCTTTGGATCAGCATTGGCACCAATAGCGTAAACTGATTCCTTCATGTTAACACTAGCACCCAATCTATCAAGCTCTGAATGCACAATGTCCTTCATCCGCCGCACAAATGCTTCCTCCATCCAATCCTCAAAAATATCCTTGCCGTCCTTCAAGATCAACCCACAGATCTGATCCCATGGCGACTCAATATCTGACCCAAAGACACTCTTCAGCCACTGCTCCAAACTTCCCTCCAACCCGTCCCTCCCATCTAGTGCATCACGTACAAGCCTTTGCACTGATCCAAGCAGCTCCCCACTCCCAATGGCATCAACCAACTTTTGCTCACCAGCAATCACACCAAAAATTTCAGTGCAACATTCCTTGAGCCAATCCGTACAGGCCCCTGCAATGGCATCTGGCTCAAGCAGCACCATTGTAGCCTCAAGCTGGTTCATGTGCTCCTTCCACAACCGTGCTTCATCATCAGGGTCCGGAATGCCACCGAACAACTGCTCAGGCGGCATCTTCTCAAGCACCGTCTTGAAGAACAAAGGCATATCACTGAGTGCAGGCACAAACAACTGTCCAACGTGGCCAAGCGTGATCCGCACGATCCTCGCGATATCGCACAGCACAGAGGTGTAGGATGACAGATCCGAGGCGAGCCCAACTAGGGCTTGGGAGATCCAAACGCGGCGCGAGGTGAGGAAGAGGAGGAGCGCCTGTGCCGGGGCAAGCGACGGGGCGTCGATGGCGGCCACGGCCGCAAGCGCGTCAGCGTGAGCCGCTACAGGGAGGCGGCGGTCGGCGAGGCGCTCGCGCGCGCGCTGGGCGATCTGCGGCCGGAACGCCTCCACGAGCTGCGCCTGGTGCGCGAGGAGTGGGAACCGCGCGGCGGCCGCTGCGTCGCGGGAGAGCCGCCCGTGCACGACCTGAGCCCGCAGGTACCGACCCGCCGCCTCCAGGAGCAGGCCCTCGTCGAGCCGGCCCCAGATGTGCTCCGGCGTGTCAACCAGGTACTTGGCGCGCGCGGACAGCGCGTACAGCCTCGCGCGCCCTCCAGCAGATGGGTACGGCGAGGCGGCGCTTACGGCGGGAGAGGGTTCAGGGGGCGGCGAGAGCGACGGCAAGGAGCCGGAGATGCGGGCGAGGTTGTCGGATATGGCATCGGAGGACTGCTTGATGAGGAGGATGGAGTCCGCGGAGTCGAGCAGGTCGCGGTAGCTGCGCCCGACGAGCTGCCGGAGCTCCTCCTCCTTGGCGGAGATCTCGCGTCGGGTGGCGCCCTCAGCCGCGCGAATCTCTGGGATGCGCTTGGTGCGGAACAGCTCCTCGGCGTCGGCGGCGCCGCCGCCTCCGGGAACGGCCGCCGCAGGCATCGCGGCCCCGCTTGCCTTCGAGCGCGCGGCGAGATCCAAGAGGGGATGGGGAGGGATGAGTGGGGGAGAGACTAATAACTAGTGAAGAGGCACGTTCGTTTGAGTTCGCAGGACGAGGCGGAAGGAGGGTGTTTGGTGGGGCCGATAGTTTAGTCAATGGTGGGCCCGATAAGTCAGAGAATGAGGGCTTGGTGAACCGGGAGCTCGGAACCTCGTGGATCTGTGTTAGCGGTGGGACGGTTTGTCAGTGATTGAGAAAGTGGCCGATTTGGTGGCCGTTAGTTTCAGGATTTTTGAGTTGAAATGCTATACCACAGTAAAGGACTCTTTGGAACTAAGGATTTTTTTCTTGTTTTTAATGTTTTTATTATAAAGATACAAATTCAAATTTTAATAAAATTCTATATGATTTTTATAAATTTTCTCTGTTTCAAAAGAATTAAAAAAATGCTGCAAAACTAGAAGTGATTCGGCGTTAGTACAACAAGGGGTCCAAAGTTCAATCTCCCATTTGTTGGTCATAGTCATTGGAGGCGCAATCTACTCCAACATTTCAATCGTTTGTGCAAGTGCATCTAAATCAATGACAAATTTTGCACACTGAACGGCATGTGGACCTGCGTGGTATGTGCAGTCTTTAGTAGAGCGTGAATTTCTTTATTAAAAAAAACAGAGCACGAAGCGTGTAATAAGCGTATATGCTATCAAAACAATGTTGAGATGCTGAATATGTAGTGCTTGGTGACTGGTGAGACGGAAGGAGTCGTACTCAAGTTAATGCTCTACACTCCATGCTTGTATATAGCATCATGTGAGGCAACTCCAAAGTCCAAAACTCCAAATCCACGTCCCTAGGAAAGATTCAGTCTGTTCGTTTGGCTGTGGCTTATCGTAAACGATCGTAAATTTTTAGCCGAAACAGTATTTTTCTCTCACACAAACTAACCAGCAGTACTTCTTCACGAACCAACAATGAAACGAACCAACCAACCGAACAAGCTGATTTGACTTCAGTGTACGAGTTGCTTCAACGGTAAGGATCGTGAGCATCGGACTTTGTGAAAGTCCTTGGTGGCTTTTAGCATATTAATCTTGTTTCTGAATTTTTATTCATATACAAGTAGTATAATTGTCTCTTTCAGACGATGATATTGTGTATATCAATTATGACTTTATAAAACTTATTAATTGCTTATAAATTTGTTAAATACGTTTTGGTTTTTTAATCAGTCGTTGATAATTCACCAAAACCTACCTAGGAGGGACAAGATGTATTTTTAGCTCATGTCCCTTACAAAAAAAAATGGACATGTGTACATGACTAAATGTCAGTTTGGTGATTTATATCTGCATGTAGGCAAATCACACGGACTATTCAATCTCTGCACGCAAACTACCAATGTATTATCCCCACTAAGCACCCTATCCTCACAAACTACCGGAATTCTTAAATTTGCCGAGTGTTTTTTTTTGTTTGCCGAGTATATTTCCTCGAACACTCGACGAACAGGTTCTTTGCCGAGTGTCAAAAAAAAAACACTCGGCAAAGATGGAGTTTGCCGAGTGTCAAAAGAAAAACACTCGGCAACGATAAAGTTTGCCGAGTGTAAAAAAAACACTCGGCAAAGAAATAAAATATTTTTTCTAGAAAAGAAGGAGAAGAAAAAAAAACTTTGTCGAGTGCTCAGATCTAAAACACTCGGCAAAGAAATAAAAAAAAATTCTGAAAAAAAGAATGAGAAAAAAAATGAAAAAAAAACTTTGCCGAGTGTCCAAATCTAGGACACTCTGGCAAACAAAAAAAATCTTCTTTTAACCCACCCAGCGCAGGAATCGAATCCACACTGCCCATCCCGCCTCGCTCTCTGCGCCGCCGTTGCATGTTGGATCAGCCCCCGGATCACTGACGTGGACCTCTTGGACGGCGGGATCGAAGGCCACGTGGAGTGATTTCCACCGCCAATTCATTTGTGTTCCTCTACTGAGAATGGCATGTGGGCCCAACATGATGTCATCTCCAGCAGAATGGAGAAATATCTCCCTCCGTCTCCCTCAACGCATCTCTCTCGTCTCCCTCTCAATCCAATCATGGAGGCCGCCGCGGTGCTCGACGCCTTCTCCGCCGCGCCGCGCCACCAGCTGCGCCCGGCAGCCTGGTGGAGATCCACGCGCCTCGCGTCCCAGGCGTGCCGCGCCGACTGGCAGACCGCCTGCGCTATCCTCGCCAGCAACAGCACGGGCGGCGACGGCGGCGGCGGTGGCCAGGACGCCAGCAGCAGAGCAGCAGCAGCAACAACAGGCAGCCAGCGCCGCGGGTGAACGGCCAGAAGCCCCTGCCGGCGCCCGCGCCAGCGCTGGAGGTGACGCCGACGCCGACGCCCGTCGAGCTGGATCTGGTGCCCGTGTCCAACCTCCCCCGCCCGCTCAGCATCAGCGACCTGTCCCCGGCGTGAAGCTGGGCCGCGGCGCAGGGGAAGGGCGCCGCCGAGGAGACCGACGACGGCCGGCGGAGACCGGCCGGTGGTGGTTTTTTTATTTTTTTTGGCCAGTGGTGGCTTTTTTTTATTATTCGGAAAAAAGTTTGTCGAGTGTCAAATTTGACACTCGGCAAATAGCTGTTTGTCGATACACATATGCCGTATGTTGTATGCCAAGTATTACACTCGGCAAAGCATTTGCCGAGTGTTTTTGGGACTTTACCGAGTGCCCCTGGCATTCGGCAAAACTACTGTAGTGACACTGACACACCATCTTACACTAAATATCATTACTATTTTGAATCTATCGACATACAACGCATATCAATGTCATACACCATTTATCACATTCTCGTATAATTAAATCTAATATTATATTATTTTTTATTAGATTCTTTCATTAGCTCATCTAAGCTTTGACAACCTATCTCATTACATGCAATGACGTGACAACTTTGTCTGTAAGAAAGTCTCACCGCAACATGTGGGTTATTCTTCTAATTTAGGTAACAATCCAGTTTTTTTTAGGGGAGGTAACAATCCAATTAGTAGGACAAACACATGTGCTAAGTTGTGTTATGGGTTCTACTAGGCCTTATTCAAGCCTTTGTGGGCTTGTCACTTGTGGAGGAGACATTTTCTCGTCGCACAGGGCATCTTTCAAGCAGCCAGCATACCAAGAACAGCATGGTGTCTAAGTCTAACTACCCTGCAAGCACATATCGCGTGATTGATGTGTCACTGCATCCATCATGACAATATTTCATGAGTATCATCCCTGATTCAGTCGTTGCAATCTACCACGTGAATTGTGTATCACTATAAACAGCCTCTTCATTCTCTAAAAGCACTGACTTAACACTAAGGCCCCGTTCGCTTGTCTGAAAAAAGAAGGCAAAACACTGTAGCGGCTGGTTTTGTGAGAGAGAAATACTGTAGCGGCTGAAAGATGCACTGTAGCACGTGAGGAGAACAAGCCAAACCAGCCGGCTGGTCTGAAACTTTCAGACCAGCCGAACGCGCCCTAAGAGGTATGTCCTCCGATCCTTATAGCATTATATAAACGTGTCAAAGTTATGACAACAAGTGGTAAGAACAATGACAATAAGGTTGTGTTTGGTGCGGCTCCGAGAGACTCCAGCTGCAACTGCAGCATACTGTAGCGTGAAAGCCTCTGCACAGCAGCTCCTCTAGCCCCTCTCTTGGTTTTGCCGGAGCCGGAGCCCTTTCTTCAACTGGCACATGAAAGCCTCTGCAGAGCAGCTCCTCTAGCCCCTCTCTTGGTTCTGTCGGAGCCGGAGCCCTTTCTTCAACTGGCACAGTGATCTACAGTGCATATACTGTGCAGCAGGGTGTGGGGAGCCGGAGCCCGAGCTTGCAGGAGCTGCACCAAACGGTGCCTAAGAAGACTAAGGCCGTATTTGGCACGGCTTCACGTGGGTGGGCTCCTCCACCGAGTCAGAACCAGATACTGGAGCTGCAAATTGTGGCTCTACCTCCCCTATGCGAAAAGAGTTTGAACTCCTCCAAACGTGCGGAAACGCTCCTTGCATCCCGTTTGATGTGTCTCTCGGCAGTGACGGAGTTGGATCGATGGAGCGCCACCAAACAAGTTCTAAAGATGTCATCCCAAGAAACGGGTTCAAAAACTATCTAGGCTCTCCTGGGTGCATCTATAGTCGAATCCGATAAACTTTTGAGTGCCCTCCAACCTGCTAGGTCGAGGCATGTATAGGATCAAAAAAAGACATACGAAATCTAGGAAAAAAATACACAGACAGACATGCCCTGTTCATTTCGTTGAAAAGCCAGGCTGAAAAGTACTGTTCGCTGATTTGTTGTGAGAGAAAAAACAAAAACACTGTACCCAAGCCAGGCTTATAAGTTCAGTTGAACGGGGCCCATGACGTAGCACGCACAATCGGGACACTATTATACATAAAGAAAAAGTTAACTAACCCAACCATCTGAGCATGCCTGAGATAAAAAACAGAGAAGCGCGAGCAGAGCGATGGCGGCCTCAAGGGCTGCCCATCCAGCATAGCTCTGCACCACACCAGCATCGGCTCGAAGGAGTAGGTGGTAAACTTGTCCATGGTCACCTGCACCGACAGCGGCACCCTCTCCCGCCGCTGGCGCTGGCCCTCCATGAGCCTGTGCAGCCTAGCGGGCATGCCTCGCATCCCCTCGCCCGTGGCCTGTCGCCGCCGCCTTGCTCATCTCCGGAGCTGTCGCCGGTGGTCATCGATGCGCCAATAATTAACCGATGATTATTATTGCTTCGCCTAAGGATGGAGCCTGATCTCGTTTGTTGATATATAGCAGGAAGAGACTCGTGCTCTGCAAGAACTCTGATCCGGGCCGAACTCTTCTCTCTCTCTCTCTTCATGAAAACGGACATGAATAGGTCGATCACGCACGCAGGCAGAGTTAATTTATCTCAAGGGGAAAGTTAAATCTAGCATGCACCTGGCCGGGCGCGACGACAAGACTAGATTACATGGGCGAGCGCGTCGGCAACAA